CAGGGTTAGAGGTTAGAGTTTCAAGGTTCCCAAGGTTAGAGTCTAAAGGTTCGCTCAAGGTTTTCAAGGTTCCCCAGTAAACGTTCTCAAGGTTGCCAAGGTTGCATTGTAAAGGTTGCCTCAGTGCCTCAAGGTTCCCACGGTTCCCAAGCTTCCCAAGGGTTCCAAGTAAAGGTTCTCAAGGTTACATTGTAAATGTTCTCAAGGTTTCCAAGGTTACATTGTAAAGGTTTCCTCAAGCTTGCCAAGGTTCCCAAGTAAATGTCTCAAGTTTTCCAAGGAATCATTGTAAAGGTACCCGAGGTTTTCAATCAAGACACCTGAATGGTGCAAAAGGCCCTTGTGATGAAACAAAAAAAGGCCAGAGAATATCCCCAACAGCAAGGAAGAAGTGGCCGCGCAGTTTTTGTAAGAACATGGTGCATGCAATGGATATCAGCTGTGTTCGAATGTATGACTCATTGCGCATCATATCATGCACATTATACTTCATCCGCATGACACTGTATGCGTACCTCTTGTACATTTCTGTGCGTAGGCAGGCATCACACCATATTTGTATTTCATACGCAAAACATGATGATGATCGTCTTATGAGTCTAAAAAGAGTCTATCCATCGTTTCAAAAAAATCTGGATTATAACTATACAACGTCGCACAATATCATAGAACAAACAAAAAGAAAGAAACGTGAATCATAAGAAAGAGTTGGTTTACGCGTTGGACAGTCCTGTGTTCGACTACGCATTCGTCGATGCGCATGATCTCCTACGTACGACATGATGTAGACTGATTTGAATTCATGGTGCGTAACCAGATAGAATCATGAAGAAGGAATCATCTGTGAAACACTGCTCTGGTTCCTGACGCGTCACATTTTGCGCATGATTTTGGTTGTAGACGCCATGGCACCAGGTAAATAGTTGGTTTTCTGCTGCTGTTGAAAACCTACTGTTGCTTGGTGTTCTGCGCCAATGCTTCGTAAGACAGCGTATCAATTTGTTGGTACAAGATCCCTCCACCACAGCGAACATTCATTTGACACATGCAAGACACACATTGAATGCTTCAGGTGCCACCTTTCGGCGAAGCAGAAATGAAATCCCTTGTATGCCTTTGAAGGGCTCGCTTGCCAGATTTGCAGATTTGGTGTCAGAACTTACAAACCTGAATAGTTGGTAATAGTTTGAATGTATCCTGACGGTGGTAATGCAACCACGCAGCAGTACAACTTTTGCATGCACATGTTTGAATCGGCCATGAGGTCAACAAACATCCCTGCTGCTTATATCAAAGAATTACTGAAGCTTCGGCTTACTTGCTTGGAAAGAACAACTTGCTTGGGCAACAGCATGCATGCACAACAAAGCCTTTTTTGTTTGCATTGAGGCAAAAAGATGTTTGTTTGGTCTTTGGCTGCAAGACAACACATTGAAATCGTTGAGGCGGCGTTATGTAACATACCTGGCGATGATAGTGGGAAACAAATGTGATTAACACTTGCGGGCCGTAAGGCTGGATGTTTTGGAAACAACTTGTCCAATTGCAACAGGTAAGCGTGTTCTGTTTGAAAACCATTTGCCTGAGTTTGGCACTGTGGGCAGCAATGAAGCCCCAGCGTGTCAAACAAAGCATTTTTATCGCAACCTGAAGAAATGATCCAGTTCAGGCCCAAGGTTTTGAAGAGAATGGACAATCTTGGATAAGTGAATGCCTCTGGGCTCAAAACCATACTTCGAAACCCACAGTCTCACAAGCAAGAAATTGTTGCGCAATGTTTCTTCTAGAAACTAATTGCTCGCAACTGAATTTTCAAAATATTTGAACAACAAATCTTGCAATTTTGCGCCAGGCACATCCCCAACGTCTAAAGCAAGAATGTGCAGCAATGAAGGCGCCTCAATGCCAGGCGCCAAGCAAGAACAAGTGAGTCCTCATGTGGAGGGATCTTGTACCAACAAATTGATACGCTGTCTTACGAAGCATTGGCACAGAACATCAAGCAACAGTAGGTTTCCAACAGCAGCAGAAAACCAACTACTTACCTCATGTCATGGAGTCTACTGGGACCAAAAGTGCAAACTAGGAAAGCATAATGCAGAGAATAATGTCTGTAAACCCTTTTATGCAGTATCTTCTGCAATGAGATTAATCAACGACACCCGTGAGAGATGCAATCAAAAAACCACCTACATCAAGTCGTGCGTATGAGATCATGCGCATGATGTGATGCGTCGGAATGCAAAGCAGTGTTTCACAGTTGACATTTTGCTCCATGATTCTATCTGGTTACAAACCATTCTTTAAAAAAGGGTCGACACCACGTTGTTCATATGAGATCATGCGCATCAACGAATGCGTAGTCGAACACAGGACTGTACAACGCGTAAACCAACTATTCTATATTATTCATGTTGCTTTGATTTTGTTTGTTCTATGATACTGCGCGATGTTGTATAGTTATTGTCAGTTTTTTTGAAACGATGGATAGACTCATAAGACGATCATCATCATGTTTTGCGTACGACCTAAATAGGTATGATGTGATGCCTGCCTACGCACAGGAACGTACAAGACGTACGCATACAGTGTCATGCGGATGAACTAATGTGCATGATATGATGCACAATGAGTCATACATTCGAACACAGCGGACATCAACAAGTAAACTGTTGCATGCACCATGTTCTTACAAACATTGGGCGGCCACTGCTTCCTTGCTGTTGGGGATATTCTTTGGGTTTATGCCATAGCAAAATTTGACAATGTGTTCATGGGTGTGTGCCAGGAGGGGTTTTGTTTTTCCCCAACAGCAGAAGCTTTGGGGTCTTCAGCCATAGTAAAGGTTTCGGAGCAGACCGGAGCAGCTCCAAAACCCATTCCCCCAAGGTTCCAAAGTCAAGGTTCCCAAGTAAAGGTTCCCAAGAAAAGGTTCCCAAGTAAAGGTTCCCAAGTGAAGGTTCCCAAGAGAAGGTTCCCAAGTAAAGGTTCCCAAGTAAAGGTTCCCAAGTAAAGGTTCCCAAGTAAAGGTTCCCAAGTAAAGGTTCCCAAGTAAAGGTTCCCAAGTAAAGGTTCCCAAGTAAAGGTTCCCAAGCCCAAGTAAAGGTTCCCAAGTAAAGGTTCCCAAGTAAAGGTTCCCAAGTAAAGGTTCCCAAGTGAAGGTTCCCAAGTAAAAGTTCTCAAGTGAAGGTTCCCAAGTAAAGGTTCCCAAGTGAAGGTTCCCAAGAGAAGGTTCCCAAGTAAAGGTTCCCAAGTGAAGATTCCCAAGGAAAGGTCCCAAGTTAAGATTCCCAAGTAAAGGTTCCCAAGTAAAGGTTCCCAAGTAAAGGTTCCCAAGTAAGGTTCCCAAGTAAAGGTTCTCAAGTGAAGGTTCCCAAGTGAAGGTTCCCAAGTAAAAGTTCCCAAGTAAAGGTTCCCAAGTAAAGGTTCCCAAGTAAAGGTTCCCAAGTGAAGGTTCCCAAGAGAAGGTTCCCAAGTAAAGGTTCCCAAGTAAAGGTTCCCAAATGAAGGTTCCCAAGTAAAGGTTCCCAAGCAAAGGTTCCCAAAGAAAAGGTTCGCAAGTAAAGGTTCCCAAGCAAAGGTTCCCAAGAAAAGGTTCCCAAGAAAAGGTTCCCAAGTAAAGGTTCCCAAGTGAAGGTTCCCAAGCAAAGGTTCCCAAGAAAAGGTTCCCAAGAAAAGGTTCCCAAGAAAAGGTTCCCAAGCAAAGGTTCCCAAGTAAAGGTTCCCAAGCAAAGGTTCCCAAGTAAAGGTTCCCAAGTAAAGGTTCCCAAGTAAAGGTTCCCAAGTGAAGGTTCCCAAGTAAAAGTTCCCAAGTAAAGGTTCCCAAGTGAAGGTTCCCAAGTAAAAGTTCCCAAGTGAAGGTTCCCAAGTAAAAGTTCCCAAGTAAAGGTTCCCAAGTAAAGGTTCCGAAGTGAAGGTTCCCAAGTGAAGGTTCCCAAGTAAAAGTTCTCAAGTGAAGGTTCCCAAGTAAAGGTTCCCAAGTAAAGGTTCCCAAGTAAAGGTTCCCAAGTAAAGGTTCCCAAGTGAAGGTTCCCAAGAAAAGGTTCGCAAGTAAAGGTTCCCAAGTAAAGGTTCCCAAGAAAAGGTTCCCAAGTAAAGGTTCCCAAGTAAAGGTTCAAAAGTGAAGGTTCCCAAGTAAAGGTTCCCAAGTAAAGGTTCCCAAGTAAAGGTTCCCAAGTGAAGGTTCCCAAGTGAAGGTTCCCAAGTGAAGGTTCCCAAGTAAAGGTTCCCAAGTAAAGGTTCCCAAGTAAAGGTTCCCAAGTGAAGGTTCCCAAGTGAAGGTTCCCAAGTAAAGGTTCCCAAGTAAAGGTTCCCAAGTAAAGATTCCCAAGTAAAGGTCCCAAGTTAAGATTCCCAAGTAAAGGTTCCCAAGTAAAGGTTCCCAAGTAAAGGTTCCCAAGTAAAGGTTCCCAAGTAAAGGTTCTCAAGTGAAGGTTCCCAAGTGAAGGTTCCCAAGTAAAAGTTCCCAAGTAAAGGTTCCCAAGTAAAGGTTCCCAAGTGAAGGTTCCCAAGAGAAGGTTCCCAAGTAAAGGTTCCCAAGTAAAGGTTCCCAAGTGAAGGTTCCCAAGTAAAGGTTCCCAAGCAAAGGTTCCCAAGAAAAGGTTCCCAAGTAAAGGTTCCCAAGTAAAGGTTCCCAAGTAAAGGTTCCCAAGTAAAAGGTTCCCAAGTAAAGGTTCCCAAGTAAAGGTGCCCAAGGATGCCAAGGTTCTCAAGGTTCCCAAAGTTCCCAAGGCTCCCAAGGCTCCCAAAGTTCCCAAGTAAAGGTTCCCAGTTAGATTGTAAAGCTTCCCTCAAGGTTCCCAAGGTTAGATTGTAACGGTTTCCTCAAGGTTCCCAAGTAAAGGTTCCAAATTAGATTGTAAAGCTTTCCTCAAGGTTCCCAAGGTTAGATTGTAAAGGTTCCGTCTGTGAATTTCACTCAAGTCATTCCGTTTGTGCTTTTGGGCCTTGCCTGCACATGAGCCATTCACCAACCAATGCTTTTTCATTATCAAATGGGATCAACAGCGGATCCCTTGAGCGCCCTTTGCAATGACCAGCTGGTCATCAAACGCCATGAAGGCATAGCCACGTGAGCGAGAAAAGGCCTTTTGCACCTTTTTGCACTTTTCGCATCTTTTGCTCTGCCAGAACAGCGCTTCATCAGACCCTCAAGGTTCCCCAGGTTAGATTCTAACGGTTCCCTCAAGGTTCCTTCAAGGTTCCCTCAAGGTTCCCTCAAGGTTCACTCAAGGTTCCATTGTACATGTTGCCAAGGTTCCCAAAGTTGCATTGTACAGGTTCTCAAGGTTCCCAAGGTTGCATTGTAAAGGTTTTCAAGGTTCCCAAGTGTTCCCACAGTTAGATTGTCAAGGTTCCCTCAAGGTTCCTTCAAGGTTCTCTCAAGGTTCCCTCAAGATTCCCTCAAGGTTCACTCAAGGTTCCATTGTACATTTTGTCAAGGTTCCCAAAGTTGCATTGTATCGGTTCTCAAGGTTCCCAAGGTTGCATTGTAAAGGTTTTCAAGGTTCCCAAGTTTTCCAACTCAAGGTTGTCAAGGTTCCCAAGGTTACTATGTAAAGTAAAGGTTTCCAAGTAAACGTTGCCAAGGTGACATTGTAAGGGTTTCTATAAGTTTCCCAAGGTTAGATTGTCAAGGTTCCCTCAAGGTTCCCAAGGTTAGACTCTAAAGGTTCCCTCAAGGTTTTCAAGGTTCCCTAGTAAACGTAAACATTCTCAAGGTTCCCAAGGTTAGATTGTCAAGGTTCCCTCAATGTTCCCAGGGTTAGAGGTTAGAGTTTCAAGGTTCCCAAGGTTAGAGTCTAAAGGTTCGCTCAAGGTTTTCAAGGTTCCCCAGTAAACGTTCTCAAGGTTGCCAAGGTTGCATTGTAAAGGTTGCCTCAGTGCCTCAAGGTTCCCACGGTTCCCAAGCTTCCCAAGGGTTCCAAGTAAAGGTTCTCAAGGTTACATTGTAAATGTTCTCAAGGTTTCCAAGGTTACATTGTAAAGGTTTCCTCAAGCTTGCCAAGGTTCCCAAGTAAATGTCTCAAGTTTTCCAAGGAATCATTGTAAAGGTACCCGAGGTTTTCAATCAAGACACCTGAATGGTGCAAAAGGCCCTTGTGATGAAACAAAAAAAGGCCAGAGAATATCCCCAACAGCAAGGAAGAAGTGGCCGCGCAGTTTTTGTAAGAACATGGTGCATGCAATGGATATCAGCTGTGTTCGAATGTATGACTCATTGCGCATCATATCATGCACATTATACTTCATCCGCATGACACTGTATGCGTACCTCTTGTACATTTCTGTGCGTAGGCAGGCATCACACCATATTTGTATTTCATACGCAAAACATGATGATGATCGTCTTATGAGTCTAAAAAGAGTCTATCCATCGTTTCAAAAAAAAAACTGGATTATAACTATACAACGTCGCACAATATCATAGAACAAACAAAAAGAAAGAAACGTGAATAATAAGAAAGAGTTGGTTTACGCGTTGGACAGTCCTGTGTTCGACTACGCATTCGTCGATGCGCATGATCTCCTACGTACGACATGATGTAGACTGATTTGAATTCATGGTGCGTAACCAGATAGAATCATGAAGAAGGAATCATCTGTGAAACACTGCTCTGGTTCCTGACGCGTCACATTTTGCGCATGATTTTGGTTGTAGACGCCATGGCACCAGGTAAATAGTTGGTTTTCTGCTGCTGTTGAAAACCTACTGTTGCTTGGTGTTCTGCGCCAATGCTTCGTAAGACAGCGTATCAATTTGTTGGTACAAGATCCCTCCACCACAGCGAACATTCATTTGACACATGCAAGACACACATTGAATGCTTCAGGTGCCACCTTTCGGCGAAGCAGAAATGAAATCCCTTGTGTGCCTTTGAAGGGCTCGCTTGCCAGATTTGCAGATTTGGTGTCAGAACTTACAAACCTGAATAGTTGGTAATAGTTTGAATGTATCCTGACGGTGGTAGTGCAACCACGCAGCAGTACAACTTTTGCATGCACATGTTTGAATCGGCCATGAGGTCAACAAACATCCCTGCTGCTTATATCAAAGAATTACTGAAGCTTCGGCTTACTTGCTTGGAAAGAACAACTTGCTTGGGCAACAGCATGCATGCACAACAAAGCCTTTTTTGTTTGCATTGAGGCAAAAAGATGTTTGTTTGGTCTTTGGCTGCAAGACAACACATTGAAATCGTTGAGGCGGCGTTATGTAACATACCTGGAGATGATAGTGGGAAACAAATGTGATTAACACTTGCGGGCCGTAAGGCTGGATGTTTTGGAAACAACTTGTCCAATTGCAACAGGTAAGCGTGTTCTGTTTGAAAACCATTTGCCTGAGTTTGGCACTGTGGGCAGCAATGAAGCCCCAGCGTGTCAAACAAAGCATTTTTATCGCAACCTGAAGAAATGATCCAGTTCAGGCCCAAGGTTTTGACGAGAATGGACAATCTTGGATAAGTGAATGCCTCTGGGCTCAAAACCATACTTCGAAACCCACAGTCTCACAAGCAAGAAATTGTTGCGCAATGTTTCTTCTAGAAACTAATTGCTCGCAACTGAATTTTCAAAATATTTGAACAACAAATCTTGCAATTTTGCGCCAGGCACATCCCCAACGTCTAAAGCAAGAATGTGCAGCAATGAAGGCGCCTCAATGCCAGGCGCCAAGCAAGAACAAGTGAGTCCTCATGTGGAGGGATCTTGTACCAACAAATTGATACGCTGTCTTACGAAGCATTGGCACAGAACATCAAGCAACAGTAGGTTTCCAACAGCAGCAGAAAACCAACTACTTACCTCATGTCATGGAGTCTACTGGGACCAAAAGTGCAAACTAGGAAAGCATAATGCAGAGAATAATGTCTGTAAACCCTTTTATGCAGTATCTTCTGCAATGAGATTAATCAACGACACCCGTGAGAGATGCAATCAAAAAACCACCTACATCAAGTCGTGCGTATGAGATCATGCGCATGATGTGATGCGTCGGAATGCAAAGCAGTGTTTCACAGTTGACATTTTGCTCCATGATTCTATCTGGTTACAAACCATTCTTTAAAAAAGGGTCGACACCACGTTGTTCATATGAGATCATGCGCATCAACGAATGCGTAGTCGAACACAGGACTGTACAACGCGTAAACCAACTATTCTATATTATTCATGTTGCTTTGATTTTGTTTGTTCTATGATACTGCGCGATGTTGTATAGTTATTGTCAGTTTTTTTTGAAACGATGGATAGACTCATAAGACGATCATCATCATGTTTTGCGTACGACCTAAATAGGTATGATGTGATGCCTGCCTACGCACAGGAACGTACAAGACGTATGCATACAGTGTCATGCGGATGAACTAATGTGCATGATATGATGCACAATGAGTCATACATTCGAACACAGCGGACATCAACAAGTAAACTGTTGCATGCACCATGTTCTTACAAACATTGGGCGGCCACTGCTTCTTTGCTGTTGGGGATATTCTTTGGGTTTATTCAAACTGTTTGGTTTTCAAATTAAAACACAAACACAAAAACAAAACCCTAAAGTTGCGTGCAGAAATAAAATCGAGTTTCTTTGCAAGAAACTCTCAACTTATTTCCAACTCCACAACAGGCACCCCAGAACACATCTCGTATTGTGTAAAACCGAAAAGCATATACATACCCATACACTGAATTATATATATGTATATGTCAACGTCGCATATTCACGATACGCGCTCGCAGTTCGGTTCTAAACAAAATTAAAATACATTGCAAACGACATGTCGAAAGATCTCAGAGAATGAAAGCACAGCAGAGAAAATGAGGTCACACATTTTTCTCGACAGCAAACGGGGCAAGGTCATCACCTTCCGGCCTCTCCCCTTTTATGTTGAGGTGATGCCTGAGTAGTTCCCAGTTTATACTGGTCTGCTCTGCATGCTGCCTCTCACACCACGAAAGGTCTAATCGGCTGGGCCCGTCTGCTGGATTGCTCATGCTTGGGCATCGCCCGAACCACGTCTTGTGCTGCAAAGCAGCTTCAAGTTCAACAAAGCTTCCAATCATGTATGAAGCGTAGATCGTTTCTCCGTGTCCTTTGATGTATGCCATTCGAGCTGACTCGTTGTCGATGTAGTATACTATGAGGGCACCAGAATATCTGGAACCCCAAAGAAGGCAGGCTACCAGAACTGGCAGCACTTCAAGCTCATGTATGGGATTTTCTGAATCCCTGAAAAGCTCGTTCATGACATCCTCAGGCACCATGGAGCTAAAGAAAGCCTGACACTTTCCAAGTGGGTCAAGTATGACACCGCCTATAGAACCCTGTCGAAGCTCCGGATTGCAAGCACCATCTGTAAACACCAACCAGGTATCAGTCAAAGCGACGCTGATGCGCACTGGAGGAGCTGAGAGTACACGATCCCTCAAAGCCAGTAAGCTGTATCGCATGGAGTTGTCGATATCTTTGGGGCTGGTTTTTCCCGTGCAGGATCTTCCCAAATTCTTCACCGCTGCATTGGCTACACGGCCGAAGGTATATCCTTCGAAAAAGACCATTCTTCCCCGGAGGCGCTCTGCCTCCTTTGAATCCATTTTCCCTGTGGAAAGGATCTCATCTATCCTTTCCTTCAACTCGCTTTTTCGTTCGTCTGTATGCCCTATGAGCACCTCTTTCCTTTTGCAACTCGTAAGGTCAACCTGGAGTCCAAGCATTCGGAAAACCGCATCAAAAGGCATGAACTTCTTTCCGTCGGTGGCAAACTTTAGGCCCAACAACTGAAACAGCGATTCAACGCACCATGAAGTGTTGGCCAAGAGCTCCCTTCGGCTCAAGACACTGTAATCGTCGTAAAATGACGTCCAACAAATCTGCAGGGCAACCAACCCAACGTACCAAACCGACATGCTGACTCGCAGGAAACTTGCAACACTGCCCACAGCTCCAAAGGGCAAGGCATTGAAGCCAATCCAACGAGGTTCCTCCATCGAGGGGTCTCTAACGGCCATGCGCAAGGAAGCACGGTCTGAGCTATGCACAGGGAACTGCTTGTAGGCCGACTTCAGGTCATAGCAACGCCCTAAAATTTCAGGAAACTCAAGGAAGGGAAACTTCTTGAAGGCAGCTGCCATCATGGACGCCAGAACATCTATAGACTGCAGCCTGAATTTTTCGTGAAGACCAACTGTCCAATTCAAGCCACAACACGAGCAGTCATCGATCACTCTGGTTTTGTTGGATTGGCGGATACCAAAGCGGCGTCCAATGAAAAGGCAGGCATTCGAGTTTGCAGTCTCGTCAAACCAGATCCATCCTTTCTTCACTTCCTCAATCGTCTCTTCCCAAGTCTCGGCCTCAAGCTGAGGTTCCTGTCTCACATCCATGCTGCGGAGTGTTGTAGCATTGAGTGCCTTTGAGAGTTGCTTTAGGGTACTCAAAGACATGGAAGGCCTCTTCGCCCTTGCTCTAAAAACGTTTGACTTTCCCATCCAACCACTGAGTTTGAAGCCTGCAGCCATTTCATCTATCAAAGTGGTGTCGGGGTAACCATAGTCTGCAAGAATTTCCTTCCACAAAAGGAGACGCTTTCCCCCAACCAGGTTCCTCACATGCTCTGGCATGCTGAGTCTCAGTTCTTCCTCCTGCGCATGGAGTTCCTTTGCCCTACGCAGGTACTTGTGGAAAAATTCAATCCTTCTTTTTGCCAAGGCTGCTGGTTCTTCCAAAAAGTTAGCATTCAACATGGCTTCCATCTGCGCGTCCATGTATTGGTCAAGGCTTCTGGGATGCCCTGCTTTCAAAGCCCTCTGTATGAAAACGTCAGGTTCACTTGGGACCCCAATGTGCACCTTTTCTATCATTTCTGACTGCCCCAAGTCCAGAAGAAAAACATTTGGATCCCCTGAGTGAGCAGCCTGTGATTCTACCCTTGTAACAATGCGGCGCGAAACGATTTTTGCTCCCTTGGGTTGCTGTGCCACGAATTTTTCTGTCAATGCAGGCTGTTGTGGGTCTGCATAGACTGTGATGTAGTGCCGAAACTCGGCCACAAGAGGTTTGACCTTGTGGCCACGTGGCAGAGCACCCAAAACAACTCTGGAAAGAGAGTCTGAATTTGGCCCTTCAGCTTGTTTGGCTACGGTTTGGGGTGAATGGGCACCCATGTGCAAGGCAACGCTGCGAACGCAGTTGATGATGCGTTCACACAAAAGCCAGGGGTATGCAGCTTCTTCTGCTGTTGCAAATTTGACGCTGCCATCTTTCATTGTGGTAGTCCATGGCTTGTGAGTATGCTTTCCATCACAAAGCAACGCCAGTTCATCCAACCAGGTGTCGTTAACCCAAAGCGAGGTCGACTTGTCTCTGGCACCACCGTGCGCACATCCATGAAAAGTCACATAATGATGCTCTTGTTCTTCGCAGGGTGATCTCATGGGAGAGGTGTTCCAGTAATGAGAGTTTGTTGGATTTTCCAGCGCAACAAAAATTTTGTGCATGCAGGCCCTTGACGCAATCTTATAGACTGCTTCATATATCAAGTTTGCTTTCTCAACTTTCAGCTTGTCAAGACCCCCCAACCCATCTAGTTGGTCAGGTTGTTGTGTGGACCTCAAAGGAATAGGAACCTTTGCACCAGCCGCTTCCAATTTTGGCAGTTTCTTCTCCCTTGCTCTACTGCTGGTGCCACATGGAGGCGCCACCCAAATCATGAGGATGCAACCTGCTGCTTCATCTATGAACTGCAGCAACGATTCCAGGTCTGAGGGATGTGTAAGATCAAAAACGCAAATTGGAAAGCCACATGTCCTCGCTGTTGAGTGGTCCACCGCCATTGTTTTGAAACCATGCCCATGCGCAATCTTTGAAAGTCGGGCCGACCCCGCACAAATCTCAATGATGTAGAGGTCCTCCAACGAAAAACCTGTGAAATCTTTCTTGCAAGTGAATTGTGGTGGGTGTTCGCCATCTGGCATCTCCCCAAAATTCTCATGAGTGTCGCCTTTTGGCGTCTCCTCCATTGAAATGAAACTGTTATGCAACGTGTCTTCAACATCTGAAAGTTGCTTCTCACTGCAAGCTTTGGCATGTGAGTGGGTGTCGATGTCCCCACCTGAACTCTGCCCACAGTCTTTACGACGCTTGCAGGTTGGCTCAGTGGGCGTGATTTGTCACGAGCCCTTTACATCTCGGCAAACGACCACTGAATGGCCAGGTTTGTGGCAATTTGCACAGATGTGCAATCCACGCTGACATCTTGCCGGCTTCCCGTTTGTGGGCAACTGGCATCCATCCTTCAAATTGTAATTCCAGCATACCTGGCCCGAGGAAACCTTCATGTTGTACTTCTTGAGTTCGTCCGGGCACCCACGTTCAGCTCTGGTTTTGCGCTTGCCTTGCCTCTTCGGTGCCGCTGCTGCTGGCCTGGTCGGAGCAGGCCTTGTTGGACCCCCTGTAGGCTCGGATACCTTCTGATTGGAAGGTAAGGGCAAAAGGAGCATGGTGACCCTTGGATCTGTGGTCAGGCGCTTGACATGAGCGTCCAAAGGGATGTCGTTCCCGGTCATCTTGAGGCTACCTGTGACTTCCTGTGCAAGGATTGTCCACATCTCACGGTCAGCCCTCACCAGTTGTTCCAGTTTTATCTGCTGAAAACCTGGACTGACCTGCCTGCTCAAAAGGTTGAGCATGTAGTTCACCCACTGTTGATGAATGCCCCAACTGAGAACCCTGCATTGGTCCATGGCAAGCCCACGTCTCATCATGCACCATTGGAATTTCAATTCCGAGTTCCATTCTGCTTCCACCGTGTCGGTGCTGGGTCCCACTTTCAGTTGCGCATTCTCCACTTGCACGGAGGACTTTGAGTCCTTGAGCGCTTGTTGAACTTCGTCATCGCGCTTGCTGCATTTGGATGGGGCCAACCAAACTATGGCACCACTCTCCAACATTTGATTGGCCAGGTCCAAGAGGGCATGGCTGGGATCCAGCTCTCCCACCATTGAGATGCCGGTCAACCTCGCCATCTGATCCTCTTTCCTTTGCCTTTTCTCAGCCAAAGGAATTTTCCTTGCTGCATCTCCTTTGTCTGCACTGTCACTGGTGACTCTCTCCCTGACCATGGAGATGACCAGAGTCGTGCTCTCAAAGTGAAGCCTCCGAAGGGCAGACATTTGCCCCACACTATAGCCAGCTCCAAAGATTCGCTGGGCAAGAGCAACAAATTGTTCCTCTGTGGGCGTCATTTGTGGGGTGCCCATTGAGAAGGCCATTGCACTGTGCGACCTGATCCCTTGTACATCTAAGGATGTCCTCAAGGATCCGTCCTCCACAATCTCGTCGCATCTTTGGTTGAATGCCGCTGTGGATTCCACCAAACTCATGGCGGCTGACAGTGCTATGGAAAATTAAAAGAAGAAAACTTTGGAACTGCCATCTCACAGTGCCTCGAGTTGCTATCACTGGACTGTGGTATGGTTTCACGTTCATTTAAAAATTGCTTTACCTTGGGCTGCTTGACTGTCTTGTGTTCTAAAAAGCATGTAGGTGATGCGTACGCGATCAAACTCGCACCGGCGACTTACAGCCTGTTGTTCAAGCTGAGCCTCTCACGCACATTAAACAACCTTCCCATGCTCACATGTTTCTTCAAAAGGAAGCCACTGAAAATCACCGGATGATTCTGCGTGCATGGCATTTGAAACGACCAGCAGCCCTGGTTTTTCAACAGCCTCTTCTTGTCGACGCAGTCTATGAAACGACAGTTGCAGTCCATGGTGCACAAAGTTTCAAACGTCAATTTGAAAACTGATGCAACGAAAATGCATGATAATGCAGCACAAAAATGAAACTTCTCAAATCATTCCTTTCTGGACTGGCCTGTCCTCCAAACACGTGTGGCTCCTTTGGGCTCTCCACGTCTGGCTCTGCAAAATCCGACACCTGTATGGCATCTAAGATGCTTCACTGCCAACTGAACTGCATTGACAAAACAAGTATGGAATGTCCCTTGATGAAAATTCAATTGACAGTTTATGTCGAAAGCTGTAACTTGCAGAGCTCCGGACAAATGGTACGGCTGTCTTCACTGAACATACATGACAGTGCACACTTCTCGACCACTCCGATTGTTAAATTGGCTGTGCAAAACATGTGAAGCGTTTAATTCAAAACTTCCACTCAGTTCCAAACCAGTCCATGAAATGAGAGACAGCAGCCAAAGTTAGTTCGATTCATGAGAACATAGTTAACTCAAGAACGCTTTCGGTTGAAACAATTGCTGCATAGTGGCGTGTCAAACTGTGGTGCTTCTTTCAACTTCTCGTGTAAGCTCCCGACAGATCGACCACATGCCAAAACTTTGGAATTCTGAACTTCCATGAGATGCAAAGTCTTTAGCTTCTTATGTTGCCAAAGATTGAAACCATCTGGTGCAACTGTTGGTTGAACAACTGGGAAATGTTTGACTTGAGTTGGTCTGGGCTCTTCACTTGATGTTGAGCTCGAATCCAAATCCTCTGGCTCAGACTCCTCGATGGTCTCAGGCTCGTCCTTCACCTCGATGACGACATTCGCACCTGTGGGCACTGTTGACTCTTCGACTACTCTACCACTTCGGGTCTGGTCAGGGTCAAACTTTCCTTGCGCAATTTCTGTTATCAACTTCTCTAACACCATGAGACTTGCTGCCGCTCCGTCACGGCTGTAGACCATGCCCATCTGAAAATTGCTCGTATGGTATCCCAGTTGCAGTCGTTCTGGGATTCCAATTCCTCTCTTTGCTGCATAGGAAAGCATGGTGCTTTTCAAAGAGTGGCTTGAAACCCTTCTAGAACTGCTGTCCTCTGAGGCGCCAACGATCTTTCGGATCCAAGCAGCACATTCCTGGGTTTCCAAGGGTCTGCCTGTCGGGATGCCCTGTCGATCTGGTGCAGGCATAACCAAACCTTCAGGTGGCCACGCAACACCAAGCTGACGTCTGACATCAAGCCAAGCTAGACCCCAGCTGCTTCCATCAACACCAACTGCTGGTGCAACCATTGGTAAAAACTGGTGACGATGCATTTGTGATTTCATTGTTTTGTGTCGTCCTGTCCTAGCTTCTAAATAGCAAAGAACTCCATGCTTGTCACAGTCCTCAATGACTGTCTCTGCTCGCATCAAGTCGCCCCATCTGGAGCGGCAATATACGGCCATCAACACCGCTCCACAAAACATCTTAATCCACAAGTCATCCCCTGCACGCAACAGTTGGTGAAAGCGATTGAGCTCTGCCACAGTTAATGGTGACGCTTGGACTCTTTCCTGAAGGTGATCTCCTAAACAAGCTCCCTTGCATCTTGCGCTGGTTGTCAGACTTGCAAGCTCATCTACTGACATGACAAACCTGACAAAATTCACTGATTGCATGTAGCCCTTCAAGCGAGACTGGGGTGCGTTGCCCATTTGTTCACTGCACAAAAAGTCATAGAAAAGCCGTTCATTGCAAGGGAAAACTTCTCCAACACTTTCGAGGTAGTCGCACAATCTCATGATGCTGTATGCCCTCTTACGTACTGTAATGGGTGCCCGACCAGCAAACAAATGAGCGAACATGGTGAAGATCCTGCTAGTACTGCCAAGTTCTGCTATGCTGCAACAAAGACTGCACTTGGTGTCCCACCTGTCCACCAGGGCCATCCAGAACTTCACAGAACGTTGAAGGTCGGAGTCCCTCTGCTCTTGCCATGAAATGTCAGGCTTGTCTCTGACCACATCTGAAAAGGATAAACCTGAATCCGAAAACATTTTGGGTTTTGTTGAAGCCGGCATTGCAACGTCAAACTCTGAAGTAGGTCTCGAAGTGTCTGCAGGTCGTTTCAACGTTTCTCCAAATGGTTTGTAGACATCAAACATGGTCTTGTTTCCAAAGATGACACCCCAGATCCCTTGTTCCCATATCGGTTCGACGGCTTGCATTGGAATAGATCTGGATGCAACTTCCAGGGCAGTGACAGTATCAAAAGATGAAGATGAAGCAACTGCATGAACGTGTTCAGTTGGCAAAGTTCTCTCAACTGCAAAAGTCCGCAACTCATCCGTGTCAGCAACTGAGGGTTCTGCAGAAACACTATCACCTCCTAAGTTAATTGAACCAACGTCACCTGAATCATCACACCCAAACAAGTTGTCCAGTCCAGAGTCACTTTTGTCCTTGTTCAAGTCAAACTCAGTCGAAGGAAGTGTCACTTCAGCTGATGTTCTGCCAACAAAAGACCAGCCAGGCAGTGATGAGTCTGCTGTTACTAGAGGTACCTCCGAGGTTGAGGCATCAGCCATTCGAGAGCCAGACTGTCCAGTCCAAGGCTGCTTCAACACCATGGCTATCTCTAAACTAAGTCCCCATTTGACAATCTTTGCCAAAATTTTCAGGACTATCCCTCCCTCCCTACCCTTGAAAGGAAATTTTGCCATAACAAAATTTGACAATGTGTTCATGGGTGTGTGCCAGGAGGGGTTTTGTTTTTCAAACTGTTTGGTTTTCAAATTAAAACACAAACGCAAAAACAAAACCCTAAAGTTGCGTGCAGAAATAAAATCGAGTTTCTTTGCAAGAAACTCTCAACTGGAAAGAGTTGTTTCAGGTTTGGAAACATGTTTGTATAAAAAATTAAACGTCTTTGGTTTTCTTAAAAATTGGAGTACGTGTTTTTCCAGCTAACACTTTGCCACACAAAGTGTTTTCAAAAATTGGAAATAAGGTTTTCATCCCTGCGGGAGTTAAAAACTTCTTTTGGCCTTCGTGCTTGGCACGGGCCGCCTCACAAGAGGCGGGCGACAATCACTCAAGCATTCGTTGGGGGCCATCAAGCCGTGCAAGCATTCTGTATCTGCTGCGCAGCGGCAGACGTGCTTGCACTTGTTTCTTGCAGAACCTCCAGCGCGCGCGCCATCTCTTCTGCTTGTTGCGCATAAGCCTTGACAACTTCTGCGCGGACACTCGCGTAGTCTGTTGGTGCCCCAACGACAGCGCGTACAACGGCAAGCAGCAACACACAAAGAACAGAGCCACACAGCTTCATGACAACACAGTGGGTTCACCTGCAGGTGCTTCCCAGCTGGAATGCAAGCTTTGGTGTTGGAACTGCGGGTCGTGCGCCTTGCTCGCCCATGAAACACACAAAATGCTGTGCAACCCAGGTCATCTATACAGTGGCTCGGCAGCAACCAAAAACCCTTACACATCACCCCATTGTTGACACTTTTGGTCCCATGAAACACACAAAAAGCTGGTAAACCCCGGTCATCTATACAGTTGCTGGGCAGAACAAAACCCTTGCACATCACCCCATTGTTGTGACTTCATCCCTATTGACCACAGACAGGCTGGGAACCAAACACTCTGCACACACAGGGGGACACAACCCGTCCACACTATGGTAGCATGTATCAATATCTCTAATACCGATAAAGCTAGAAGCCCCAAAAGCATTGGAACACAAGCCACAAGCAAGCTTGTCAACATGCCCAAAACTTAGCCCTGAGACACTTGACTTCGCAGCACATACAACATCAAAAACGGCTGCAGCCTAAGAAATTCAAAGCCTGCACGCCAACCTTGCCTATTCTTTTGGCCTTCGTGCTTGGCACGGGCCGCCTCACAAGAGGCGGGCGACAATCACTCAAGCATGGGTTGGGGGCCATCAAGCCGTGCAAGCATTCTGTATCTGCTGCGCAGCGGCAGACGTGCTTGCACTTGTTTCTTGCAGAACCTCCAGCGCGCGCGCCATCTCTTCTGCTTGTTGCGCATAAGCCTTGACAACTTCTGCGCGGACACTCGCGTAGTCTGTTGGTGCCCCAACGACAGCGCGTACAACGGCAAGCAGCAACACACAAAGAACAGAGCCACACAGCTTCATGACAACACAGTGGAATCACCTGCAGGTGCTTCCCAGCTGGAATGCAAGCTTTGGTGTTGGAACTGCGGGTCGTGCGCCTTGCTCGCCCATGAAACACACAAAATGCTGTGCAACCCAGGTCATCTATACAGTGGCTCGGCAGCAACCAAAAACCCTTGCACATCACCCCATTGTTGACACTTTTGGTCCCATGAAACACACAAAAAGCTGGTAAACCCCGGTCATCTATACAGTTGCTGGGCAGAACAAAACCCTTGCACATCACCCCATTGTTGTGACTTCATGGTCCCTTATGACCACAGACAGGCTGGGAACCAAACACTCTGCACACACAGGGGGACACAACCCGTCCACACTATGGTAGCATGTATCAATATCTCTAATACCGATAAAGCTAGAAGCCCCAAAAGCATTGGAACACAAGCCACAAGCAAGCTTGTCAACATGCCCAAAACTTAGCCCTGAGACACTTGACTTCGCAGCACATACAACATCAAAAACGGCTGCAGCCTAAGAAATTCAAAGCCTGCACGCCAACCTTGCCTATTCTTTTGGCCTTCGTGCTTGGCACGGGCCGCCTCACAAGAGGCGGGCGACAATCACTCAAGCATGGGTTGGGGGCCATCAAGCCGTGCAAGCATTCTGTATCTGCTGCGCAGCGGCAGACGTGCTTGCACTTGTTTCTTGCAGAACCTCCAGCGCGCGCGCCATCTCTTCTGCTTGTTGCGCATAAGCCTTGACAACTTCTGCGCGGACACTCGCGTAGTCTGTTGGTGCCCCAACGACAGCGCGTACAACGGCAAGCAGCAACACACAAAGAACAGAGCCACACAGCTTCATGACAACACAGTGGAATCACCTGCAGGTGCTTCCCAGCTGGAATGCAAGCTTTGGTGTTGGAACTGCGGGTCGTGCGCCTTGCTCGCCCATGAAACACACAAAATGCTGTGCAACCCAGGTCATCTATACAGTGGCTCGGCAGCAACCAAAAACCCTTGCACATCACCCCATTGTTGACACTTTTGGTCCCATGAAACACACAAAAAGCTGGTAAACCCCGGTCATCTATACAGTTGCTGGGCAGAACAAAACCCTTGCACATCACCCCATTGTTGTGACTTCATGGTCCCTTTTGACCACAGACAGGCTGGGAACCAAACACTCTGCACACACGGGGGGACACAACCCGTCCACCCTATGGTAGCATGTATCAATATCTCTCATACAATACCGATAAAGCTAGAAGCCCCAAAAACATTGGAACACAAGCCACAAGCAAGCTTGTCAACATGCCCAAAACTTAGCCCTGAGACACTTGACTTCGCAGCACAAACAACATCAAAAACGGCTGCAGCCTAAGAAATTCAAAGCCTGCACGCCAACCTTGCCTATTCTTTTGGCCTTCGTGCTTGGCACGGGCCGCCTCACAAGAGGCGGGCGACAATCACTCAAACATGGGTTGCGGGCCATCAAGCCGTGCAAGCATTCTGTATCTCCTGCGCAGCGGCAGACGTGCTTGCACTTGTTTCTTGCAGAACCTCCAGCGCGCGCGCCATCTCTTCTGCTTGTTGCGCATAAGCCTTGACAACTTCTGCGCGGACACTCACGTAGTCTGTTGGTGCCCCAACAAGAGGGCGTACAATGGCAAGCAGCAACACACAAAGAACAGAGCCACACAGCTTCATGACAACACAGTGGGTTCACCTGCAGGTGCTTCCCAGCTGGAATGCAAGCTTTGGTGTTGGAACTGCGGGTCGTGCGCCTTGCTCGCCCATGAAACACACAAAATGCTGTGCAACCCAGGTCATCTATACAGTGGCTCGGCAGCAACACCCTTGCACATCACCCCATTGTTGACACTTTTGGTCCCATGAAACACACAAAAAGCTGGTAAACCCTGGTCATCTATACAGTTGCTGGGCAGAACAAAACCCTTGCACATCACCCCATTGTTGTGACTTCATGGTCCCTATTGACCACAGACAGGCTGGGAACCAAACACTCTGCACACACGGGGGGACACAAACCCGTCCACCCTATGGTAGCATGTATCAATATCTCTAATACCGATAAAGCTAGAAGCCCCAAAAGCATTGGAACACAAGCCGCAAGCAAGCTTGTCAACATGCCCAAAACTTAGCCCTGAGACACTTGACTTCGCAGCACAAGTTTAACATCAAAAACGGCTGCAGCCGAAGAAATTCAAAGCCTGCACGCCAACCTTGCCTATTCTTTTGGCCTTCGTGCTTGGCACGGGCCGCCTCACAAGAGGCGGGCGACAATCACTCAAGCATGGGGTTGGGGCCATCAAGCCGTGCAAGCATTCTGTATCTTCTGCTGCGGCGCGCAGACGTGCTTGCACTTGTTTCTTGCAGACCTCCATCGCGTTCAGCGCCATCTCTCTCTTGTTGCGCATAAGCCTTGACAACTTCTGCGCGGACACTCGCGTAGTCTGTTGGTGCCCCAACGACAGCGCGTACAACGGCAAGCAGCAACACACAAAGAACAGAGCCACACAGCTTCATGACAACACAGTGGGTTCACCTGCAGGTGCTTCCCAGCTGGAATGCAAGCTTTGGTGTTGGAACTGCGGGTCGTGCGCCTTGCTCGCTCATGAAACACACAAAATGCTGTGCAGCCCAGGTCATCTATACAGCGGCTCGGCAGCAACAAAAAACCCTTGCACATCACCTCATTGTTGACACTTTTGGTCCCATGAAACACACAAAAAGCTAATACCCCGGTCATCTATACAGTTGCTGGGCAGAACAAAACCCTTGCACATCACCCCATTGTTGTGACTTCATGGTCCCTTATGACCACAGACAGGCTGGGAACCAAACACTCTGCACACACAGGGGGACACAACCCGTCCACACTATGGTAGCATGTATCAATATCTCTAATACCGATAAAGCTAGAAGCCCCAAAAGCATTGGAACACAAGCCGCAAGCAAGCTTGTCAACATGCCCAAAACTTAGCCCTGAGACACTTGACTTCGCAGCACAAGTTTAACATCAAAAACGGCTGCAGCCGAAGAAATTCAAAGCCTGCACGCCAACCTTGCCTATTCTTTTGGCCTTCGTGCTTGGCACGGCCGCCTCACAAGAGGCGGGCGACAATCACTCAAGCATGGGTTGGGGGCCATCAAGCCGTGCAAGCATTCTGTATCTGCTGCGCAGCGGCAGACGTGCTTGCACTTGTTTCTTGCAGAACCTCCAGCGCGCGCGCCATCTCTTCTGCTTGTTGCGCATAAGCCTTGACAACTTCTGCGCGGACACTCGCATAGTCTGTTGGTGCCCCAACAAGAGGGCGTACAATGGCAAGCAGCAACACACAAAGAACAGAGCCACACAGCTTCATGACAACACAGTGGGTTCACCTGCAGGTGCTTCCCAGCTGGAATGCAAACTTTGGTGTTGGAACTGCGGGTCGCGCGCCTTGCTCGCCCATGAAACACACAAAATGCTGTGCAACCCAGGTCATCTATACAGTGGCTCGGCAGCAACCAAAAACCCTTGCACATCACCCCATTGTTGACACTTTTGGTCCCATGAAACACACAAAAAGCTGGTAAACCACGGTCATCTATACAGTTGCTGGGCAGAACAAAACCCTTGCACATCACCCCATTGTTGTGACTTCATGGTCCCTTTTGACCACAGACAGGCTGGGAACCAAACACTCTGCACACACGGGGGGACACAACCCATCCACCCTATGGTAGCATGTATCAATATCTCTCATACAATACCGATAAAGCTAGAAGCCCCAAAAACATTGGAACACAAGCCACAAGCAAGCTTGTCAACATGCCCAAAACTTAGCCCTGAGACACTTGACTTCGCAGCACAAACAACATCAAAAACGGCTGCAGCCTAAGAAATTCAAAGCCTGCACGCCAACCTTGCCTATTCTTTTGGCCTTCGTGCTTGGCACGGGCCGCCTCACAAGAGGCGGGCGACAATCACTCAAACATGGGTTGCGGGCCATCAAGCCGTGCAAGCATTCTGTATCTCCTGCGCAGCGGCAGACGTGCTTGCACTTGTTTCTTGCAGAACCTCCAGCGCGCGCGCCATCTCTTCTGCTTGTTGCGCATAAGCCTTGACAACTTCTGCGCGGACACTCACGTAGTCTGTTGGTGCCCCAACAAGAGGGCGTACAATGGCAAGCAGCAACACACAAAGAACAGAGCCACACAGCTTCATGACAACACAGTGGGTTCACCTGCAGGTGCTTCCCAGCTGGAATGCAAGCTTTGGTGTTGGAACTGCGGGTCGTGCGCCTTGCTCGCCCATGAAACACACAAAATGCTGTGCAACCCAGGTCATCTATACTGTGGCTCGGCAGCAACACCCTTGCACATCACCCCATTGTTGACACTTTTGGTCCCATGAAACACACAAAAAGCTGGTAAACCCTGGTCATCTATACAGTTGCTGGGCAGAACAAAACCCTTGCACATCACCCCATTGTTGTGACTTCATGGTCCCTATTGACCACAGACAGGCTGGGAACCCTCTACAAACTTCACTAGCATGCATCACAAACCAGGAACATACTAATAGGTGAATAAACCTGACTCCTGCCCAACCACCAGAGCACTAATCCTTTTTCATGGATTGGCTTGATCACACACAGGTGGAGCAGCTGCTGGGCAGCAGCAGCTCCACCACACCAGCCCCGCAGGGCCATGAGCACTTGGGCTCAATCCCAAACATAGGCAAAAAATCTTTCAGTGCCCATGTTACAGCTTGCACCATCAGCAAGCAACTTCATAAACACCTGACAAAAAATTGCCTGTCACAAAATCAAGGCCAGGGGGCCTAATCCAAACTTGCCCCAAACAGGTGGCAATGTGGAGGGTAACAACCCGTGAACCAATGCAGGGAGGGGTGGGGTGGAAAAGAGAAAACAACAAACAGGCAAGCGGGTTGGAAAGCACTACCTCTCAGGGAAAGGAGAGATGAACAACTACTAGCCCAACCAGGCTTGCCACTAGCTGCAAAGCATGTTCAGCCAACTCATGAAGCAACAACAGGGTAAATCCCGACAAACAAACAAGGTATGCAAGGTGAAGTTAGAGAGAGTGGTGTTCATGTGTGCAAGCCCACATGAAAACAGCACCTCTACAAACTTCACTAGCATGCATCACAAACCAGGAACATACTAATAGGTGAATAAACCTGACTCCTGCCCAACCACCAGAGCACTAATCCTTTTTCATGGATTGGCTTGATCACACACAGGTGGAGCAGCTGCTGGGCAGCAGCAGCTCCACCACACCAGCCCCAACAACGGTGTTGATCAAGCAGGGCACTAAAGTCTCACAACTTCCCACACGCAGTGTGCCCGGCGCCATTCCAAAGCTTTTCAAGAATGGAACACACATCAAACTCCATTCTATTAGCTGCGTTGAAATTTTCATAGCAGCCACGACTCAGGGCATCAGCCCACTCATTGCGAACACCCGCACAATGCTGCGATGACAAAGATACACCATGCTGACAGCAATAAAACCCAATCGCTTGCAGCACATAGCACATGGGTGCCTTCATGGTCAACTGTTTGCGAGTCAATGCCACCACGCCATTATTGTCACACAGTTGTTGCAAAACCACTGTCGCATTTCTTGGATGTGTGAAATGCCGAAGTCGCCCCAGCAAAAGCAGCAGCTGTGCCAAAGCTTCAAAAGATGTAATGAATGACTGCAAATTTTCGGACTGTAACCATGCTGGAAGATCTTTGGCGCGAAACTGAATACTAAACCACAAAACAGTTTGTGGGGATGGAGCCACGTGAGAGGGGCACCACCATCCTCCTACACCGCAAGATGAAGAATCAGCAAATGCATCAGCAGCGCCGAAGCCATGTTCCACCTGAGTGCAACGCAGGGGAAGCGGTTTTGCACGGAAACAGCATTGAAAAACAAAGTGGCCGCATCGATCGAGATCTTGTTGGTTCGCACCTTGGCACTGCTATAGTCATAGAAAACGCAATCAATTGCACCACGTTTCAAACGCGGAGTCTGAAGCGGGACATCGCTCAGCGCACGCACAGCACAGTTACTTACTGAATGTAACTTCCAACCCTGCTGTAAGTCCCACTGCGAAAAGCTATGCTTCAAACGTAGATTGGGGTCCAGTGAGCCACGCATGCATTCAAATTGCGCGGGCAACAAGGCACGAAATACACACAAGGGTTTGAACAATAAGTTATATAAGCATTGCAGCCACGGCTTCAGCCACGAAGCACCCCCGCAATACCAGAGCAAAAGGCCGATAGCTTGCTCCACCAGCTTACGTTCAACCCGCCGGTTCTCTACCATGAGACAAAAAAGCAACTGCTGCAACTTCTGCTTCTTCGCGTTAGGCAAACAAACTGTAGCATTGGAAAAATGGAAATCCCACCCAATCCAGGAAATAGCAGTGCCCAGTTGCAATTTTTCCCAACTGATCGGCATACCGATCGACAGCAAGAACATCAATGAAGTAGTTGCAACCAGCGGCGCCACATCAGCGGGAAGCAAGAGGAGGCCATCATCAACATATACCCACAATGCGTGTGGTATCCAAACCCAGCGATGCAAGAGTCGCACAAGAAATGAAGAAGCACGCGAGAACCAGTAAGCCGCCCAGCGGCAGCCAAAAAAACAGGTTCGGTAGGTATACCATTCTCCATCCAAAACAAAAGTGCTATACCCTTGTTCTGCAGGTCGTACACGAATTAGCTTGTGGGCTCCACGAATATCAAAGGAAAAGGCAGAAAAAAGTTTGTCAAGCGGCGTTGCGCTAGCAACTCTTTGCACGCAGCTCAAAGTGGGCAAGCGAATCTTTTCCAGAATCACGCAGCGCGAATTTGCACCAGAAACCGTGGCATCGCCAATCAACCGTGGTTTCTTGCCCGGGATTTTCACCAAGCCCAATTTACCTGCAGCAATCTTGTCCCCCCAGCGTTCCTTCGCTTCCGCTTCACCTCCACGTAAATGCATGAGACAACCAGCGTCAATATCCTTTTGAAGCAACTGTTTTGCCAGGGGTAAATCTTCAGCTGCCGAGCGCCAAGGCTCAAGGTGAACCAAAAGATCACAAGGAACCAGCTCAGGCTCAGGTGCCATTCCATCAAAATCTACTGCATCCCAGACACCAGAAGGTGAAATCGGGGATTCGATGCCTGTAGGAACCCCTTCTGAAAGAATGTTGGGAAGATGTGGATCAACATCAACAGTCATCTTGGCCAAAGCTTGCCAAACGGAAAGCAGAAAAGGCTGATTGGGTTCGACATCACCGTTGCAAGAAAAACCATGGTTACGCAAAAAACCAACAATCTCTTCACGCAAGTGTAACACTTCTTCAGCAGAAAGCAGCTCAGCATCCGTGGGGTTAGAGACGTGCGCCATCAGGCGGGGAACTAGACGCCATTCCATAGCCAAAGATTCAAACCTGCGGCGAAGATCACGAAATAAATCGTCCTTGACCCGCGGCTGGAACCAATCAGCCGTAGAGCAGATTCCCCCTCCGTCTGGGACGGGCACCCCACAGTAATCTAACTCCGACCTTGTCATCACCTCTGCTTCTGCAGGCGGCTGCCGATGACACACAGATGGATTGTCACCTGACGACCAAATGGCTGCGGAAGCATCAAACTCTGCCACTTGGGGCTCCTTTGATAGTCATTCAGCGTGCTCAAATCGGCAATTTTCACCAAAGCTGCATTTGCCAGACTTCTTGAATGCAAAGCATACCTTTTTTGCACGGGGCGCCTCCAGCCCTGGAGTATGCGCGTTTTTGATCTTCGCAGATTTCCCAGCAGGTTGTGGCAACGGCCGCTTCCCTTTCTTATTGTACAAATCGGATTGCGGCAGCAGTTTTGGCCTCGGCTGCAACCAAATGTGAAGACAATTTCGCACGGCAACTAGTTCATGTAGGGCTTGATCTAAGCTGAAGCCAGCGCCCAGCAGCGCATTCAATTGGCGACAGATCTCCCCATCTGCCGCTTCAGCTTCAACCAAGGAGGGACCCCGCAGGCCCACTGCATGCAAGCCATGAGCACCATACAGTTCCATGAAAGCGTGAACTAGGCGACGAGCTCCTCCTAAATGACACCATCCTATCAAGTCACCGCACGCAACATCAACAGGCGTTGAACCCCAAACGGCGAAGGAGATGGCTCTTGCTCGGGTGGGTCAGCGTGCCCTGCCGCATCCGCCAGAAGGTCTAAAAAGGAACGATCTCGCTTGGTAGAACCTTGCTTGACTCGGTCTGCTTGGGCTTCACTCAAGATCCTTTTCCAAGGAATGTATTTCAACTCTTGTTGACATTTTTGCGCATAAACCATTTGCACCAATGCTTTCCCGGGGCGAGCATCGCCCTCTACTACCTCTGCCGGGTATTTCTTTGCAAATTCAGACCAAAGCTGTTGTAACACATCACCGGACAACCGAGGCCCTACATCCATGCCAAGAAGTGAAGGGGCCATCTTTTCAGCTGGCGTTGGTGGGCCAGGCTGCGGGGCTTCGCACACAAGCTTGCATTCTGACAACAGACGACGCAATCGTCCAGCTTCTACACACTGAAGTTTCGAGGGGGCCGATGAAAGATCAATTCCAGCGGCATCGAGAATTGCTTCAATGGGAATTGCTTCAATGGTATCATCCGCCCCATCTTTGAGTGCCCAATAGAACTCAGCAGGGCTCTTGAAACCCAAAGGCTCCAACGCAGCACAGACTTTCTCTGCTAGCTTGACTTTGGCGCATAAAGCTGCGACAAAGCAAATGTTTCTCCAGCTCAGGCGTTTGCTGACCGTCCAACCCCAACACCAGAATGAAATGCGGAAAAGTTCAGGTTTGGAAAAAATTGCAACCACACCGAACCACTTCATGCACCATAATTCCAACAACAGGGATACCCTCGACCCCCTACCAACAACACAAAGGGACACACGGTCTCCAACAAATACTTGTAATTTTATCAATACACAACAAAACAAGGGACACACAGTCCCAAGGAGCACTCGAAGCTCCACCAACAAAAAAACAGGGACCCACGGTCCCAAGGAGCACCTGCGGCTCCACCAACAGGGGCACACACGGCCCCACCAACAAAACAGGGACACACAATCCCAAGGAGCACCTGAGGCTCCACCAACAGGGACACTCTCGGCCCCACCGACAAAACAGGGACACACAGTCCCAAGGAGCACCTGACGCTCCACCAACAGGGACACTCTCGGCCCCACCAACAAAACAGGGACACATAGTCCCAAGGAGCACCTGAGGCTCCACCAACAGGGACACTCTCGGCCCCACCGACAAAACAGGGACACACAGTCCCAAGGAGCACCTGAAGCTCCACCAACAGGGACATACACGGCCCCACCAACAAAACAAGGACACACAGTCCCAAGGAGCACTTGAAGCTCCACCAACAAAGAACCAAGGGGCAACCCACAACAGGAACACACCTGACCCCAACAACACAGCCAGAACGGCACCAGCCAAGCAGGGACACATTCCGCTCTACCTGACCTACCAACAATTAGGGACAAGGAATACATGCAACTCCGACCCTTTAACTGGACTAACAAACAGCAGCTCACTATCCATCATGAACAAAAGTAACCATAGTGAAAACACCATCGCGGGCTTGGCCACGTGACCCACACTCTTTCACAAGCAAGAAGAGCAAGCACCATGCGCGCATGGAAAAAATACTTCTCCACGGGCCGATGGGTCTGAATGCCAAACTTCCCATTGAGGTTGCTTAATTGCACGGCATGGCGCGCAAGCTCTCCCAAACTGCTTTGATCCAAGCTCCACTGCTGCATGATAGAAAGCGCTGGACGTGTTCACGATAAACACACCTGGCACTACTGTAGAGTTCCTAAGGTCGTGCTCAACTTCCTTGTCTTTTTCTAGGTCTGAATCTACATGTGCTTCAGATTCTGAAGAGGATGAAGATGACGAGTCCTCATCATCAGACACCTCAGTTTCTGCATCCGATGCAGGGTCCCAGTCGCTTGACCTGGCAGGTATCAAACCTGACCAGAATCTGCCTTCCAATGGCACTAGAGGTGCGGTTAAAGCCGTTTCTGCCACAGGATGCTGCGCACCGCGGCTCTGTGGCGCCAGAGGAACCCAACCACCACGAATAGCTTGCAACACACGCAACTGCGCACGAAGAGCGGGAAGAACATCATCACGCGAATATTTGGTTACCATCTTGCTGCCAGAATCAACCGAGCGATGGTGGCCCCACAATCGCCGCTGGTGCACATCTACATCTAATTGCAACCCCCAAGATAGACCTGTTGTTTTCAAGCTGTGCAGCGTGTAGCTGCTGGCTTGAGCAGAAGGGACCCCACCCACTGATACTAGAAGACGCCGAAACATACCAAGTGCATAAGCGAAATTTGCGCGAGCTCCTCGTGGACCTGCCAAAAGAAAATCGCATTCCTTCATAGCTTCGCACAAACGCCGGAGCCCGGCATCCCAAGTAGAGAAAATTCCAAAACACAGCAAGCCAAACGGCATGCCATCCTTTGCCGATTTGCAGCGATAACAGCGGCCACGAGCAATGCTATTTTCTATTTGCAAAGAATCACGTTCAACTTGCTGAAGATCAGAAAAACGAAGCGCCCCCCAAAACATCACTAAAAAGGCTACTAGGGCCATAGTTTCCTGAGTTGCACCAACGGCCAGGTCTTCGTGAATGCGCGCTTCAAAAGCTGCAATTACCGATAAAGGCAAAGGCAAAGCTTCTTTCCGTGCTTGACGGGACATTGATGAATCACACCAAACCGTCACAACAGGTTTGGAAAGCATGTCAACCCAGTTTTGCCAACCCATCAATGTAGCAACAAACTTCAAGGCGCACAAGGTGTTCTTGGCCCCACCTTTAGATTTGCCGTTGGTCACGAGTCCCTGCAAAAAGGCCACCATGTCACCTTCTGGAGGCTCAAACACAGGCCATTCATGAAGTTGCGCAAAATCAACCCAAAGACGCCAGTTTGGCAAGTGACGGCGTAGTGTAGCGTGTGCTTTTTTCCGCAACAACCGCTCCAAAGTACTAGCCGCGAATTCACCCAGATTCGTAAAGGCTGGAGCTAGTGGAAGCAAAGGGTTCAGCAATGTTGCCCACAAGCTTGTCCATCTTGACAGTTCAACTTCGTCAGCATGTTGCCCTGAGCCTGTGCCAGACAAAATTGAACATGCAGGTACTGGATGAACCTTCGCCTTAAACCCAGCAGGCGCAGATGCACTGCCAAGAGACTGCTGCAGAGGAGCCAGCTTAGGCCAAAAGGCCCAGGAATCCCCAATAACACGGTGAAGCGGTGCCGGGCTTGGCATAATATGGGCCAAGGCCCGCACGCTTTTTTGCGCGATCTAGGGCGCAAGCAGCAAACATAAAAGAGAAAACAACAAACAGGCAAGCGGGTTGGAAAGCACTACCTCTCAGGGAAAGGAGAGATGAACAACTACTAGCCCAACCAGGCTTGCCACTAGCTGCAAAGCATGTTCAGCCAACTCATGAAGCAACAACAGGGTAAATCCCGACAAACCAACAAGGTATGCAAGGTGAAGTTAGAGAGAGTGGTGTTCATGTGTGCAAGCCCACATGAAAACAGCACAAACACTCTGCACACACGGGGGGACACAACCCGTCCACCCTATGGTAGCATGTATCAATATCTCTAATACCGATAAAGCTAGAAGCCCCAAAAGCATTGGAACACAAGCCGCAAGCAAGCTTGTCAACATGCCCAAAACTTAGCCCTGAGACACTTGACTTCGCAGCACAAGTTTAACATCAAAAACGGCTGCAGCCGAAGAAATTCAAAGCCTGCACGCCAACCTTGCCTATTCTTTTGGCCTTCGTGCTTGGCACGGGCCGCCTCACAAGAGGCGGGCGACAATCACTCAAGCATGGGTTGGGGGCCATCAAGCCGCGCAAGCATTCTGTATCTGCTGCGCAGCGGCAGACGTGCTTGCACTTGTTTCTTGCAGAACCTCCAGCGCGCGCGCCATCTCTTCTGCTTGTTGCGCAGAAGCCTTGACAACTTCTGCGCGGACACTCGCGTAGTCTGTTGGTGCCCCAACGACAGCGCGTACAACGGCAAGCAGCAACACACAAAGAACAGAGCCACACAGCTTCATGACAACACAGTGGGTTCACCTGCAGGTGCTTCCCAGCTGGAATGCAAGCTTTGGTGTTGGAACTGCGGGTCGCGCGCCTTGCTCGCCCATGAAACACACAAATGCTGTGCAACCCAGGTCATCTATACAGTGGCTCGGCAGCAACCAAAAACACTTGCACATCACCCCATTGTTGACACTTTTGGTCCCATGAAACACACAAAATGCTGTGCAGCCCAGGTCATCTATACAGCGGCTCGGCAGCAACACCCTTGCACATCACCCCATTGTTGACACTTTTGGTCCCATGCAACACACAAAAAGCTGGTAAACCCTGGTCATCTATACAGTTGCTGGGCAGAACAAAACCCTTGCACATCACCCCATTGTTGTGACTTCATGGTCCCTTATGACCACAGACAGGCTGGGAACCAAACACTCTGCACACACGGGGGGACACAACCCGTCCACCCTATGGTAGCATGTATCAATCTCTCTAATACCGATAAAGCTAGAGCGCCCCAAAAGCATTGGAACACAAGCCACAAGCAAGCTTGTCAACATGCCCAAAACTTAGCCCTGAGACACTTGACTTCGCAGCACAAACAACATCAAAAACGGCTGCAGCCTAAGAAATTCAAAGCCTGCACGCCAACCTTGCCTATTCTTTTGGCCTTCGTGCTTGGCACGGGCCGCCTCACAAGAGGCGGGCGACAATCACTCAAACATGGGTTGCGGGCCATCAAGCCGTGCAAGCATTCTGTATCTGCTGCGCAGCGGCAGACGTGCTTGCACTTGTTTTTTGCAGAACCTCCAGCGCGCGCGCCATCTCTTCTGCTTGTTGCGCATAAGCCTTGACAACTTCTGCGCGGACACTCGCGTAGTCTGTTGGTGCCCCAACGACAGCGCGTACAACGGCAAGCAGCAACACACAAAGAACAGAGCCACACAGCTTCATGACAACACAGTGGAATCACCTGCAGGTGCTTCCCAGCTGGAATGCAAACTTTGGTGTTAGAACTGCGGGTCGCGCGCCTTGCTCGCCCATGAAACACACAAAATGCTGTGCAACCCAGGTCATCTATACAGCGGCTCGGCAGCAACAAAAAACCCTTGCACATCACCCCATTGTTGACACTTTTGGTCCCATGAAACACACAAAAAGCTGGTAAACCCCGGTCATCTATACAGTTGCTGGGCAGAACAAAACCCTTGCACATCACTTCATTGTTGTGACTTCATGGTCCCTTATGACCACAGACAGGCTGGGAACCAAACACTCTGCACACACAGGGGGACACAACCCGTCCACACTATGGTAGCATGCATCAATATCTCTAATACCGATAAAGCTAGAAGCCCCAAAAGCATTGGAACACAAGCCACAAGCAAGCTTGTCAACATGCCCAAAACTTAGCCCTGAGACACTTGACTTCGCAGCACATACAACATCAAAAACGGCTGCAGCCTAAGAAATTCAAAGCCTGCACGCCAACCTTGCCTATTCTTTTGGCCTTCGTGCTTGGCACGGGCCGCCTCACAAGAGGCGGGCGACAATCACTCAAGCATGGGTTGGGGGCCATCAAGCCGTGCAAGCATTCTGTATCTCCTGCGCAGCGGCAGACGTGCTTGCACTTGTTTTTTGCAGAACCTACACACAAAGAACAGAGCCACACAGCTTCATGACAACACAGTGGGTTCACCTGCAGGTGCTTCCCAGCTGGAATGCAAGCTTTGGTGTTGGAAC